AAAAAAAAAAAGAAAGATGAATCCACTCAAGAACACCTTGTGCTCCCTTTGGTGTATGAGGAGTGGACAAGGCCACCAACCATACAGGCTGTTCAGGGACAACACAAGTGATGGCTGCCTGCTGAATACTCTTCTCCACCTTATGCAAGGCCTGAGTATCTTACCTGAGTATCTTCTAGAATATGTCCTATATTTTTTAAAAGAGGCTATGTTTTTTGGATTTTATCTGGTGCTATAACCAATCCCAAAGTAGAAAGACCAACCTGCAAGGCACAGTAAAGTTTCTGAAGCACAGGTAGAGAGGCATGGGCTAGAAATATATCCATATATTGAATAATATAAGCCTGAGAAAATTTTGTCCTCGGAGGTTCTATGGCCTGATCCACATATTCCTGACAAAGAGTGGGACTGTTGGTCATGCCTTGAGGTAGGCACTTCTACTGAAATCTTCTAGTGGGGCCTTGATTATTGGGCAAAGGAAAACTAAAGGCAAAACATTTACAGTCAGAAGGAAAAAAGGTATGGTGAAAAAACATTCCTTTAAGTCTATAACCAATAAATGAAAGGACAAAGGAATCCTGAAAGGACTTGGAAGTCCACACTACAATGCCCCTAAAGGTTCCATAGTCTTATAGATTGCGTGGAGATCCTGTAGGAAGCGCCATTTTCCTTAGTTTTTTCTTTATTACAAAAATTGGAGCGAGGGATTTAGCTCAAGGGTTCAGCCACCTGCCTCACAAGCACAAGGATCAGAGTTCGATCAAAAAAAAAAAAAAAATTGGAGTATTCCACAGACAAGTGGAGGGTTCTAGATGACCTGTTCTTAATTGTTCCTCCACAAGTTGATATGCAACTAGAAGTTTCTCCTGTATTAAAGGCCACTGGTCAACCCAGACCAGATCATCTGATAGTCATGTGATGTTTTTCGCCATCAGGGCCGAGAAATGATCAGGGCCCTAGGAAAAATTTGAGTAGCCCAAACCGTAATGGGCCAGTTTTTGCCAGTGTATGACAGGCTTTCTTCCCTGACCATGACATCCCAAGCCTATGTGGGGATTAAATACCTGATTTAACATTTATGAAAACAAGAGAGTTGGGACTTACCAGCAGGCTATTCAACTTAATTTACTTGCTTACTATTTTAAATACTATTCTTATGAGAAATACTCTGAAAATAAAAAAATCTTTATTGCCTTATTATAAATTACTTTCATTAAAAGAAAGAGTATTAAATTGGTAGCACTGTTCCTAAAAGTGTATCCAAGCTTACTAGTGTATATGCTTTTTCTGTAAGTGGTTTTTGCATTAAGGATCTTGATGAATGACGTGTAAGTTCTCCCACTTGAAGGTCTTTCATTTCATGGATACTGATGGTACGTTTTCCATTACCCTTCTTAAGCAAGCAAGGTAAGTAAGGAGTTTGCCCTACATAGAATACAGTAGTTATATTTTATACAATGTTTTCAAAAAGTCGTACTTTACAGTGAACTTAATGCCATAACTGAGCAAGCCTCTACACCTCTTCTACAAAGAATTTTATAAGGAATATAGGAAATGGTTGCCTCTAATATTTTTTTTCTTTTTTGTGGTACTAGGAATTGAACTGTGGGCCTCACACAAACTAGGCAAGCACTGTACCACTGAACTACATCCAAGCCCCCTTTTTCTTACTAAATGAACTTATAGCTGGGCTAGGTAGGCCTCACTAGCCGCACTGAAAATGTATGTAATTTTATTTTATTGCTTGAAGTGCTGTGGGAAGTGCCATGTCTCTACACCCATCTCAGAATTTCTAATATGATTTTATAAACTCATTAAATTCTCAGGTTTTCCCACAGCATAATTACTTAGACATGCAATGACAATTCTAAAATCTATATTCGTATATTCAGTTTTTCCCCTTTTGCATTATTGATATACAGTTCTTCACTCATGAAGAATTTTTGGTGAAAAATTGATCCCATTTTGCACATATCTAGGATTATACTTTTGTTTCTCTTAAATGATTTAAAAATACATGAGGAGTTTCTGACATTCTTTTTATTTATTTAATTTGTTCATTTTTATTGCAGTACTGGAGATTGAACTCAGAGGCACTCTACCACTGAGTTAACATCCCCAGATCTTTTTAATTTTTGAGACATGCCTTGCTAAGTTGCCCAAGCTGGCCTCATACTTGGAATCCTCTTGTCTCAGCTTCTTAAATAGCTGGGATTATAGGCATGAGTCACTGGGCCCAACAGTTTCTTACCTTATTGACATTTATAAGATCACTCCCAAATGATGATTTTTAAAAATATGTAGCATGAGATATAAGTACAAGTGGAACTATCCAACTCGCAAGTATTCATAGGTTGTACATCCTCCATAAGTTATCTGATGTTTAACGAGAGTTGACTTCCCATTAAAGGTTTTTCCACAGTCTGCATTCACAGGGATTCACTCCTTTATGAATTCTCTGATATTTAACCAGTGGTGACTTCTCACAGAAGGCATTCCCACAGTAATTGCATTTATAGGGTTTCTCTCCTGGATGGGTTCTTTGACATACCATAAAGGTTGACTTCTCATGAAAGGTTTTCTTACATCTGCATTCATAGTGTTTCTCTCCTGTAAGAATTCAACAATGGACAGAGAGTGGCTTTCCACTGAATGTCTCCCCAAATATGATGCATTCATAGGGTTTTTCTCCTATATGAACTCTCTGGTGAACAGAGAGGTATGATTTTCCCCTAAATTTTTCCCTCATTTACTGCATTCATAAAGCTTCATTTTTGTGTGAATGATGTGATCTTTAATGGGGGTGGGTTTAGCTTCACTTTTCCATATTTAATATACTCAAGTTTCCCATCCATATGAATCCTTTCATACATAAGGCTAGACATAACAGATTTGACATCTCTATAGAGTGCTTGTCTAGTGTGTGTTCTTCAAGGGTGATAAGAACTCTTAAGGACTTTTTCACATTTACCACATACAAATGGTTTCTCTCCTATATGAGTTCACTGATGTTTAATCAGAATCCACTTCTGGATAAAGGTCTTTTGGCATTCACAGCATTCATAGGGCTTCTGTCCTGTATGAGTTCTCTGGTGGGCTATGAGAGTTGACTTTTGGCTGAAGGCTTTCACACATTCATGGCATTCATAAGGCTTCTCTCCAGTGTGAGTGCATTGATGGACAAAGAGGTGTGACTTTCCTCTGAAACTTTTCCCACATTTATTGCACTCCTAAGGCTTCACTTTTATGTGTATTCTCTGATATTTAATGGAGGTGGACTTCTCATCAAAGACTGTCTCATATTTACTACACTCAGGTTTCCCACCCATCTGAATTCCTTCATGTATAATGCTGGACATAACAGACTCAATCCCTTTATAAAATGCTTGTCTGGTGTGTGTTCTTTCATGTCTAATAAGGTGATAAGAACTCTTAAAGGTTTTTGCACACTCACCACAGGCAAACAGTTTCTGTCCTATATGAGTCTGCTGATGGTAAATTAGAGTTGACTTTTGGATAAAGGCTTTCCTGCATTTGCATTCATAGGGCTTCTCATCTGTATGCACTGACTTCTGACTGAAATTTTTTTTACATATTCATAACATTCATAAGTCTTTTCTCCAGTCTGAGTTCTTTGATATACAACAAGCTTTGCTTTCAGATAAACATTTTCCACATTCAGTACATTTGTGGCGTTTCTCCCCGGTTTGGATTTTCTGACTTTTACTGAGGCTTGCTTATGATGGAGGGGCTATTCTCGATGACTGGGTTCAAAGAATTTCTATTTGGGTTTGGCGTTATCAAGATTAGAATAGAGAAATCTAGATAAAATGGCAGAAAAGAAATATCCTTCACATGACTCTGCAAATGAGAAGAGACAGAGTTAGAAAGGAGAAATTACATTCCAGACAGAAAGAGAGGAAGAGCTCTGGGTATCAAGAAAAACGTCACATAAATGGGGAGGGGAGATGGGGGTTTGGGAGGGCAGGGACAAGGGGAAAAATGAGAACCAAGACCTGTCACATAAAGGTACAAGATCCCAGTGATGAATATAACTGTACTGTACACCTAACATGTACCAATAAACTCAATGAGAGAGAGAAAAAAAGAAAAATGTCACAGAAAAGCTACAAAGCATAGCAAAGCAGAATGGGAACTCGGAAAAAAGCATGAAGCAGTCTGCAATGCCAACCTCACTTCCTCGGAGGGCGAGGAAATTGACTCTACAAATGCAAGGTAAACAGGAAGAGTTCTGACAGCCCCAGTGTTAAACAGTTGATTGAAATCCTAATCCCAAGAGAAGCCCAGGGTTATTACATGCTTTTAAACCTAGTGGAGGTATTTCATCTGAAAGTGACTCCTCCTATATGGCAAACCAATTTAGTAGATGAAATCCATTGTAGTGCTCACAATATCTGAGTGCTATCCCAGGAGCCACCTTCAGAGTAGGCTTACTGTTTGGGATTCAACAATAGTATACCCCCGTGAAGTTGGGTCAGAGTTTGTGGCCTCAGTCATTAAGAGACTTTTCCTTAGAACCTAACAATTGATCATGGAAACCCCCACAATTTTACTGAAAGTGCAAATATCCTCTGTAATTGTTTCTTTTTTTTTGGCAGAGGTTTGCATGTAGTAAAATCTAAGAGCATTATTCAGTTCTCCTTGTTGGTGACTGGCTGCTGCCCTGTAATCCATCTCCAGCAGATGTACCAGCTTTCTCACCTCATAACAGGTTGCTGTACTGTATGTAGCTATTTTGAGTGCTCTTGGTTTTGTTCTTCTTAAAGCCCTAAAATCCCTAAGATACTGGCAAGATACGCTGTACCTTCTAAGGCTTTATTAATACAGGATTTTATTAAATTATATTACATAATTTCAGGAGACATAGCATATTTGGAGTTTAAACCATGAAAACAGGCATTTATATGCATTTTTCTGGCCATAGCTAAAATTTGTAGGTTTTCACAATTTGTGGGTTCTGCAAATTTTGGGGGTCCACTGTAGTGTGATAATCAAGAAGTTACAGAACAACTTAAATTCAGAGTCATTAGGAAAACTTGCTGTGGTGACTGGGTGTGACAGCCACACGAGACAGTTGTGGAGCAGGACAGACTCAGTATGGACCTACTAAAGCGGCTGCTGGTTCTTGGCTAAAGTTTGGGAAATTGGCTTTTGGAATATTCCCTATGTTATCATGACTATTTTGTTTATGTGGGGGGACTAAACACAAATTTTTCTTCTGGGAGTTTAGATGTCTGAATGCTAGAGACTAATAATTTTCTGGACTAAAGACCATGTTTATTAGGGGGTTAATCTAGAATAGCCCACAGACAAAATGAAAAGAGCTTTCTAAAAAGACTTGTTTATAGATTTGAAATGGCAGAGTAAAGACTTGTAGCAAAATATAGCCTTTCTGGCACCTGGAAAATAACTTAGTGAAAAAAAAATTAAATAGACACTGGGAATTAAGAAAGAACCGACAGGAAAACTAGAAACTACAGAGAAACCAGAGACACAGAGCACAATGGAGAGAAAAGAATAAAATTCTAGAATGCAAACACCACTCCTAGAGAGAAGTACTTGTCACTGCTAATATAAGGTAAGCTGAAAGAGGGTTGGCAGCTCCAGGGAAAGGCAATAGACCAGGTTGTCAGTTCTAATCTCAAGAAAAGTCCATAGTTATTTTAACCTGAAAAAACAGTGGGGTTTTACTCTGAAAATAACTTCAACATGACAGGCTAAAGTTAATGAAATCCAGTACAGCCCATGCCATGTTTGAGAATGTTTAATCAGGAGCCATTGTGGGAAGGAGTTAACTGTTTAAGACTAAGCTAAAGAACAACTGCAGAAATATACACTTCATGGTTTCTGTGGTTGCCCTATCACAGTGACAGGGTGAGAGACCACCATGAGAGACAGTCATGGAGAGGTTTAAACTCAGGCTGGGAAGGGCACAAGGGGCCCCACCATCCATGGTGAGAAGCCAGACCAGTTGTGTGCTGGGTCTGAACATGCTGGCATTAAGTCCAGCAGATTGCTTCATACTGCCCCCCCACTCTGCCCTGTTCTCTATATCCAGTAAAGAATTCAGTGATCTGTTTGCTTTCCCCATCTACCAATATGATCAAGAATACAACTCAGTTTGGATGGTTGCCACAGCCTGTGGTGTACAGACAAAGGTGCTTCTGGAATAGAGTGGCAGGGTACTCACAGACCCACATGCAATAAAACTAGGCAGAGAAAGTAGTAACTTGGGGTGCATAGATGAACAAGGATACTGGGAGCATTTGGGGTAAATATACCCTAAGGTGTACACTATTGACAGGCTATCCAGGAAAGGTTGGGTAGGAGTCAGCATTCACACACAATACACTGATAATGAACTCACCAAGAAAGAAACTAGGAAGATAATACCATTCATAATAACTTCAAGAAAAATTAAATACTTTGCAATTAACAAAGGAAGTGAAAGAATTCTATCTCAAAAACTATAGTACTAACCTATAGTACTCTGAAATAGGAGTTCAAAGAGGAACATGGAAAGATACCCCCTGTTTCTGGATAGGCAGAACCAATATTGTCAAAATAGTTATACTACCAAAACTGATGTATAAATTTAGTGCAATTCCAATCAAAATACCAACAGCATTCCTCATAGAACTGGAAAAATTAATCCTAAAATTTACATTAAATCAAAAGAGACCCAGAATAGCAAAAGCAATCCTGGGCAATAAGAACAAAGCAGGAGCATCATAATCCCTGACTTCAAGCTATATTACAAAGCTACAGTGATAAAAACAGCATGGTTCTGGCTCAGAAACAGACATTTAGGTCAATGAAATAGAATAAAGGATGCAGAATCAACCCTAGACATATTCAGGTATCTCATATTTGACAAAAGAGCCAAAAACATACGTGGGAGGACAGACAGCCTCTTTAACAAATGGTGCCGGGAAAACTGACTATATACATGCAGAAGACTGAATCTAGACCCATCTCTTACCATGTACTTAACTGAAATCAAAATGGATCAAAGACCTACATATTAAAACAGAAATACTTAATTGGCTTGAAGATAAAATAGGAAAACTTCTTGAACACATGGACATAGGCAAAGACTCTCTGAACAGAACTCCATTTTACAAGAAATAACATTATGAATCAACAAATGGGATTATATCAAATTAAAAAGATTCAACACGGAAAGAAAAACAACCAAAAAGAATGAAGAGAAACCCTACAAATGGGAAAAGAAACAATTGCTACTTTCTTCTGACAGAGGACTAATATCTAGAATATATAAAGAATTAAAAAAATTAAATTCTCAAATATAAAAGACCCAGTCAAAAATGGACTTCTTCTCAGAAGAAGTATAAATGGCCAATATATACATTAAAAAGTATTCAATATCTGGTCTTTAAATTTAGGAAAGGAGTACATAATTACGAAAGATACGGAAGGGCAAAGTTTTCAGTACCTTTTAGTGAAATATCTAATGTCCAAGTTTAACTTCCATAAGTACTTATACGACTGAGTAACTAAATACATGGGAAGTTGTTCATGTGGAAAAATTTGAAATATTAAAAGAAAATGTAAAACCCAAATATCCATGGATAATTAAATGATATAGCCATATTGTACTATGAAATAGGAAATGAAATACCCTATTTATTTAAACATGTTGCAAAAAATACCCCCATAAATATAACCAGGATGAAAAACTATGATAGGTTTGGGCATAGGATGGCATTTCTGTAAAACCATACAAAATTGTATATGTGTTAATTAAACTGACATAAATGTATCTACATCATGGCATCACCAAGCTGTTAACAGTGGGTGTCTCTCAGGAAGAATATGACACTGGGGTAAGAAGAAACATGCATGTTTTACCCCTACTTTTTTATATGTACATTATAACATTACATGTGAATTTACATTTACTATCTTAAAAATGCATTTAAAAATAAAATGATCCACAAGTGAAGAGAGGGACAAAAGTAAGATGAGTTTGTGTATATATTTGATTTTTTTTCTAATTTCTTTTCCAGTAACAGGAATGCCTCATGGCTGTATGCATACCAGACAAGGCTCTACCAGGGAGGTACACCTCCCACTGAGTCTATGTATTTAAATAATTTTCCCTGAGAAGGAAAGGATGCCATGCAATTCTCAGAGAAATAAGTAGAGAGTAGTATCTTTTTTCCCATCTCTTGTGGTTAAGGGAAGGACTAGAGAAATCTGAGGTGTAATAGCTTATAGAATACATAACAAAGTTAATAGTTAATAGAATAGAAAAAAAAGATCACAGAATAACTGGTTTACTGAAGCTTATCATATACATTTCCAAAAGTTGCTCAAGTTGACTAGAAGACAATTCAAGGTAAATCAAGAACTCACCTGAATTCCAAAATGTTGCCAAAAATGCCACCATAAATATAACCAGTATGAAAAACATCTTCACTTGGCCATTCTGTTCTGCTCCATACAAAGGATAAAGATCTATAAAAATAGAATTAGGATGATCAAGATCAGTGGGTACAGCCATGAGAACATCACCAGCCTAATAGTAACTTTTACACTTGGAAAAGAATAATCTGGAAATGTGGCCTGGTAGCCCCAACCCATTCCCTTGGCATTCTGTGAAGACAGTAAAGGTTTGTCACATGGAATTTGGTTTCCCCTACTGGGCAGATGTATGAATTGTGCTTAAAGATATCACCTCTGTTTTCAGCATTCAGTTCCCAGTAATTTATCATGATGAAAGAATCATAAATGTGCACAAAGATGCAAGGCTGTTCACTGTAGTCATTTCTACCATTCAAAAAGTCGAAAGCAACTAAACATCCAGCAAAAGGGACTGTAAGAAGTGTGATATATACCAAAACATATATGCTGCAAGAGCCTAAACATGGTATGGAAGTCTATTTTCAGTGCTTAACATGTTTAAAACCAAGTTAGAAAAAAGTAACCACAGTGTGAGCCCATTTTGGTTAAACAATGTGTGTGTGTGTGTGTGTGTGTGTGTGTGTGTGTGTGTGTGTGTGTGTGTGATAAAGAACATTTGTTAAAATGGTGATATTGGCACAGGCCTTTAACCCCACTACTCTGGGAGGCTAAGACAGAGGATCATAAGGGCAAGCCCAGCCTGGGCAATCTAGCAAATTAACAAGATTCCATCTCAAAATAAAAAATAAAAAGGGCTGGTAATCTATGAAGGCCCTGGATTCAACCCCCAGTACCACAAAACAAAGAAACAAAAAAAATCTGACTTTGGGTACCTTTGAATGGTGATTTCAATTTTCTTCCTTTATTTGTATTTTCCCATTTGTGTGTGTGTGTGTGTGTGTGGTGTGACACAGGGTCTTGCTATATATTCCAGGCTGGCCTCAAACTTGGGCTGTTCCTCCTGTTTCAGCCTCCTAAATGCTGAGATTACAGGTGTGTACCACCACACTTGACTTCCCATTTTTTTAACTTTCCATTTTTGATAATGAAGATTACTGAACTAAAAGTTTAAAATTAAAAACCACCTATTATTAGTGAGCTACAGAGAAGAAAAGACTTCAACAAGGTGTGAATGAGAATGATCTCTTGATGTGGATTGGGGAAAGGGGACAGAGCAGGGCTAAAAGGGCTGGGGGATGGCGAGCTGGAAGCTTGCAGTTACAGCCCATCAATGACAGTTCTATGTGGAGCTGGAAACCACTATGCTTCCCTGAAGGCCCTCCACTCTTCACTGGTCCTCTGTTATGGTTTAGATCTAAAACAGCCCCCAATGGAGGGATGGACATGTTTAGATGGATGCAGCCACTGATGAGTTCAGTAGCTGAATATGCTGCTAGGAGGCAGGGCCTGATTGTAGCTGGATTACTAGGGGTATGACCTGGAAAGATGTGTTCTTGTCCCCAGCTCTCCCTTCACTGTTTCCTGGCTGCCAAGGGTTGAACACCTTTTCTTCTAATCTCCCCTGCCACACCATGCAGGGATGAACACCTTTTCTTCTGCCATGCCTTTCTGTCATCCTGTTTCTGCCTTGGACCTAGCTAATCATGGATGAAACTGTGAGCCCAACTGAATTTCTCCTTTAAAGTTGTAGGTATCAGGTATTTTGCCCCAATAATGGGAAAGTGACTAATACACCTTCTTACCACCTTGTCCCCAACCCATCACTTCCTTTTTTCCCATCATCTGCATTTTACTTGCCACACTCTTACTTGGTAGTTTTCAAAAGAAAGCTTCAGCAAAAAGGCTGTATGTAGAGGAGTCATTGTAAACTACAACCATCACCACAGCAGTAGGACTGACATAGTCAAGGACCACTATAGGGACAAAGGACAAACTCTTGGGCCCTTAATCGGTTACTCATTAAAAACACAATTTGTGGGTTTTTTCTAAAATAATTGGGTACTTTAAAAAGAGAATTTTGAGAAAACCCATGACTCTTCAACTGGTCTACAAATGCCCAATACCAAGATCATGCAGAAGAAAGCTTGATTTCTATTTTATAAAACTCGAGATCAAAATTGTCTCACTTCTACATATAAGCATGTTAAGCATTCAGGGAAGGTCTTGATAAAAGTCAGAGGAGCAAAGTACATCAATCCTAAATTTACCTAGCCTCTCTCACTCACCTTCAGGACAGAGGACATAAAATAAGAGTAATGTTTGAGATGCGCAGGACATCCAATTGCCAGTTTTATAACATCTAGTTCCAGACCCTTTGCCCTTAGAGTGACATCTAAGAGTCTCCATCCATTGTCCTACATTAGTAGTCACCAGTGCCCACCCCCAAAAAGCAGCCTTGCCAGACTGAAGCTGCCACAAAGGCAATCATTTCATTGGAAGATTCCTCCAGAGCATCAAAAGGAGGGAACAGAGCTGGATGAGAGCAAACTTGGGAACTACTCTGAAGTTCCAAAGTCTAAGACTATAAAATATTACTGGGCCAGGGATTTAGCTCAGTGGCACCGTGCCTACTTTGTAGGCAGAAGATCCTGATTTCAATCCCTGGTACCAGGAAAAAAAAAAAA